TTTTTCACAATCAGTTAAGTTTAAGGGTTCATTAACAAACAAGTCAGACTTTTCAAAAGCTGGGGCTATTTGCGATCAAATTGTCTTTGTCAGAGCCACCAAAACTGTGTTTCCTTCTGTTGCTATGTTTAAGTGCTTGTGCACAGAAATGTACACTCCTTAAGTTATGAGTTGTCGGAAGGTGCCAAAGAAAAGGATTATAGGAATTAATAAGAAGCTGCTGACAAGATGGCCATTGGCAGAAAAAAATCACCCTGTCACGTATCAGACATAGGGAGCTGGGATTTTACTTGCAGGATAGAAAGACATATTAAAGATAAGAAATTATTTTATATGCCATGTTATGATCCAGATTCTATTATTTCAAGACTTGCATACTGATAAACAATAGCAATACGAGAGGACTGGGCATTTTGAATATTACTGCAGGGCTTTTGTGATGACTTTCTTAGTTTTCAGGAATATATGTTATACTTTCATTGTGAGGTAAATCTCAGCCTTTTCCTAATTTATTGAAAGATAAAAACATCACTGGTTAGAACTAGCAGGCTTTTTCAGAGGGCAAAACTATAAATCCACAAAACTGCATACTTTTCAACCGACAATACTAGATCATTTGAAAAAAAATGGCTGCTTCCATCTGGTCAGCATCTGTTAAACTCCATGGTTTACTGAGTGCATGATATATTTTTGTTTTAGCTTTTGCTAAGTTTGACCCAATTTAATTTCAAAACAGGTAGATTCACAAATGAGACAGATGAGAGCAAAAGAGGACAATCTTCTTTATGCTTAACCTCAGAGAAACCTAAACATCTCTGGTATGAAATACAGATTAATTACTTGGCTCTTCTGCATGCTGATCCCAATTCTCTTTATTTCAGTTCTCAAGAATCCTGTCCTTTGATGAAAGCCACTATGGAATAGAAGGCATTTTGTAGCCTTTACTTATTATTAGCTGATTTCATTGGCCAATGACTACGAAAAATACTTTAAAATTCTTTTAGTCAAGGAGAGCTTTCTCAACTTGTGAGACAAAAAAGAACTGACATGGGAAAACTGGCATGCCCAGGATCCCATACTAGGTGAGGAGCATTCCATATGTCCCAGCTCCATCCTCTGTCCCCTCACACAGGATTTCTGTTCATGGTGGGGTACAACCAAGTAGCCAGTTTAGAAGCCACTGTTACTGACCTTATAGCTGTCTTAACAACCACAAATTAATCACAGCAGTAAGCAATGCCCATTCTACTTGTTAGATACGTCTGCTGTATTAGCAAAGGTGTCACTGGGTTCTCATCATGGCAAAGTATTAAATCCTTTGTTCATATGAAATGCATTTTTGTACAAAATGCCTCATTATCCTGTTTATTGGGTCACTTCCACCTATTTCATGCCATTGTTACTCTGCTTTCCCTGGGGAATTACTAGTGATTTGAAGCAATATCAGATAAAGATGAGGCCATACCATACCTCAGAATGATTTGAAGTTTCCTTTATTTTGTGAAAGGATGATTTAACATTAGATGAAGCATTTCTTGAAATCTTTTAATAAAATTGAAGTTCTACTGAAATATCATGTTTAGAGATAATTGCATGCCTTAGAAGTCACAGATTATGTGTATCATGTAAGATATTAAACCTGTCAAGATGTTGTTTTTAATATGTCTTTTAGTTAAGACCATGTCTTGACATGAATTATTCCTAGCATAGTTTCTCACACACTGGTTCAGCAAGCAATCACCCACTACATCCATCATTTCTGTTGCTGTCTCACCATATGTCTCAGAGGGGTGTAGGGGGGAAGTTTCCAGTTAATAATTTTTTTTGCATTTGGTATGCAAATCACTTAAAATTGAATGATGTGGCAATTTCAAGAAGCATTGTCTTAAGAAACACTGGAGTTTCAGTACTGAGCTGTTTGATAGGTTAGTGGTTGGTTTGTTTTCTTTTTTGCTTGCATCTTAACAAAATTTTACAGCTAGAAAAAAATTCTCATTATAATCTCCAGCCTATTTCCTCCTCAGAGATATGCTTGCAAAAATTGGCTTTATATTATCTTAGCGAAAGGCTTCTGCTCGTAATATTTCAAACCTTCATCTGTCCTTGGCTGCCATGACATTCATCCATCTGACAAAATGGTGGGGGGGGAAATGCCAGCCTCTGAGTGAGTGCTCCTTTAAGTGGATTTGTTAGCCAGGCATGAAGGATGCTGTGCTCACTGACACTGGGTCCTGCAGGCACGGGGCAGAGCAGGGCAGGGAGGCTCGGGCTGCCATCCATCCACAGGGCTTCTGCCCCAGCCAGCAATCTGCTTCCATCAGCTGGGAATTAAAACTCACAACGGTGGCACTGGGTACGTTGCTCTTGGCTCTCTGAAGATGTATATAATGAGATAAACAATGGTGTGCTAAGTTTCAGATTCATTTCCCAACCTCACAAAAAGCTCTGCGTACTGCTGCTCGATATTGGGAATTGTCAGGCTGTAAATGCACGTCAGTAAAAGCTCAGAAGGCTCAAATCTAGGAAATGAAGCAGAGCTTGAATAAAATCTTCACACAAAATCAGTGAGGCACTGAGACCTGAATTTCTCAGCTGTATAAGCAGTCAGGCCTCATCTGGACACAGAACAAGACAGAGATGGGGAGAAGGAACATTATTAATTTCTATCTGAGTTTTTCTGGAAGGGTTGTGCTGTGACTTGTGCATAGACTACCAGGGAGTCTCTCAGGCTGCCTGCACTTTCTTTCTCTATAGAAAATAGCAGGGTGCACATAATCTATTGCCATCAACAACTGGTTTTGATTTCATACTTTGCAATTAAGACATATTTAAAAAGCAGTTTTTTGTTTTGTGGGATCAAAGATCAACTTGGAGTGTAGCTTATGAGACACATACAGCAGCTTATTGAGCATGTTTTCATCTACCCATTCAGCAAGAAAAGCTTCACACTTCTGACAAGGGTTCCTCCTGTGCAAAGCACTTATGTACAATCCAATTAAATAAAAAGTGAAAAGAAAGATCATAGGATCAGAATTTTTTTATACACTTTCCAGTGATTTGTTCACATAAGGTCATGCAAAAAGAGCCTGGTGGAGGGGTGGTATGTAGATTTCTTTCTGCCTGGTTGCTGTACAAACTGCTAGATGATACAGTCATATAGCTCTCTTGGTTCCTGATTGATCTTTTTACTTGTGAAGGTTTTTCTGCATGGAAAGTGGAACAGCTTCAGTTGGAGAAACAGCAGATACTTTCTGCCCCCTCATACCCAACTCCAGCTCCTGTACCAGCATCACAGCTGTTGGGCCTCCTCTGTGGAGGATAGGTGAGAAATTTGGGATTGAACCTTTCTGGGCAGGAAGATAAGATAGAGTCTCTAAGAGTCTTCACTCTAACTTTCACTGACAATTAATTAATTACCTAATTAATTTTTTTAAACCAACCAAACAAACAAATATAATATCAGGCAGTTGTGGAGTTTAGATTCCTCCATATATGAGAGCCAAGAAAACTATTTTAAAATTACTGTTCCCAGTATACACACTTTAACTTTGCTGATTTTTGACACCTAAATATTTTTTTTTTTTTACAGGAGATCCTTACGCTTTGTCCTGGGAAGCAGTGCCATTCATTCCTGAACAGAAGAGCTACAAATGCTACATTCCCCATTATTCACAGAGAAGTGGCTGTTTCTCAAGCTTCCAGGATACTATCAGTGACCAAATTTCTCAACTGAGAATATTTCTTTTATTCAAAAACAGGAAGTCTTGTGATTGAGTGTCTGTGAGAGCCATTTTGTCCAGCACAAAGTAGCTCTTTGGAGCTAAGCTGTGCCACTGCATCCAGCAATTATTAAGGTATTTCCCTTGCACACTGATATTTTGAAGCTAGTGCTGCGTGCTCCTGAGTCACAGTATGGAGCTCCAAAACTCTGCACCTCCATTAAAAGATTACCTTCTCTTTCACTCAAAAAATATTTGGTTCTTGAACAGCCACTCTCCACAGGCACTTGTTTGGGCCCTTCCTCCCACTGTGGTCACTGAGTCACTTACAGTCCTGTTAGGGAATTGCCACCCAAAAACTGTGACCCAATACTTGGTTTGGGTGATGGTCATGGCCCCTGGTGGGCCATGCTGGTGTTTCGGTCTCTAAGTATTTGCCTTTCAGATGTAAGGCAGGAAGGTACAGAGCAGCCTGAGGCAGTGGTGTTTTCTCCCATGGAAGCCCATGTCAGATGCAGGAGAAGGCTGTACCACAGAGCCAGAGAATCACAGATTTGTTTAGGCTGGAAAAGGCCTTTAAGACCATCAGGTCCAACCACTAACCTATTACTGCCATGTTCACCACTAAACCACAGTATGATAGAATCACAGAATTGCTGGGGTTAGAAAAGACCTCTGAGTTCACCAAGTACAACAATTAACCCACCACTGCCAAGTCCATCACTTACCCATGTCCCCAAACACCACAAAGGGACGTTTTTAGAACACCTTTAGGGATGGTGATTCCATCACTGCCCCTGGCAGCCTGTTTCAGTGCTTGACCACCCTTTAGGTGAAGAAATGTCAGAACCTGACACAGCTCAAGGCCATTTCCTCTTGTCCTATTGCTTGTCCTATTGCTTGTTATATGGGAGAAAGGACCAACCCCCACCTGTCTGTAATATTATTTCAGGTATCGGTGGAGAGCAATAAGGTCCCTCCTGAGTCTCCATTTCTCCAGGCTAAACAATCCCCAACTTTGTCTTAGATCAGTTGGAAAATTCTTTCTTCCATAAAACAAATATGTTTCTTTTTATTTTACTGTTAGAATAGGGCCTGCAGATGTGACCCAAACCTTGACTCACCTCTTTCAAAAGGAACAAAGAACCAGATGTGCATGGAAATGTAGAATAGTCTTTGGCCAGGAATCCAGATGAGGAAGACCTACAGAGGGCTCCATTTCACACTGCTCCCAAGGGGAAAGGACATTTCTTATTTAGCTGAAAAATAATGATCACTCTCTGAAAACCATATATTTTATTTTCTCTGGGTAACTCACAGACATTTTACAATGGCAATAAAGTTTTAATTTAAAGCATCAATGATGCAATCTTTCAAGGGGTAATGGTTGGTTTAGTCTCTGGCAGCTCTTTGGTCCAAATATCTTGGTCTTCACTTTTCATGGGCCATTAATGAAGAGATGAACTGCAGAAGAGAAACTTAATCCATTAAATCCATGCCACTGGTTCTTTTGTCCTCTTTGCCAATTGTATCCAGATCCAGGTAGTGACTGGAATTTTCCACAAACAGAGATTGCTTGTTCCATTTTTCTCTACCTTTTGGATAGTTTTTATTTTGGTCTAAGCATAACTTTTGCCTACAACATCTCTTGCATAGAAAGAAAACTTGCTATGAATACTGATAGTTTATTGAATCATTGCATTCCTCAGAAAAGCTCTGTCTTTGCATAACTCTTGATCTGGAATGTATTGTTTTGCTGCCTAAAGAGACATTAATCATAAATTCAAGAAAGACAAGGGAACAGAAATAACAAAGATAAAACTGAAACAATAAATGAATAAAACATTGGGAAGATGTAAATAAATTCACCAAATATGCAAGTTAAATCCTAAGAATATGAATGATTTTACAGAAATAATGGCTTTCATGCTAAAGCAAAATGTTTCTGATCATGACTGTTGTAGTCTGTTTTGATAGTCCAAGATATTCCACTGTCTGACACATCTGAAACAATGAAGAAATTTTCCTTTCAAAGTAAAAAGTATCAGATACCTAAATAGAATTTTAAAAAAATTTCAACCACAATTTTTGAGTAATTTTTCTTAAATAAAGATAACTAAACCAGATTTTCTTTCATTCTAAAAAATGCTATGAACATATTTAGCATAAATAAATATAATTTTTCTATCTCTTTGCTTGACAAATTATTTTCTTTGAAATATGAATGCAGAAAGTTCTTAACCATTTAAGTATCTGAGATCCTAAAAGGCAACAACTTTTGCTTGGTGCCAATTATTCTATGACAGATATTGTGCCATGTATAATATTGTGTGTGTTTCTTATGCTTACTTATCAACTTAGAATTTTGAAGTTAATTAGAAATATTAACGAAAGATAAACATTGTCGTCCAAATACAATAGGAAACACTAAAAGAGACACACATGATCAAACCAAAGATTCAAAAACATCTACTGTAAGGCAGGGAAGGAATAACAGCACTCATTTTCTCTTCTGGTGCCTCTTCTGTATTTACACATGGGTGAGAGTTTTGGCATCAGGTTCCTAAGTCTGTCAGGTTTGTCACTTAAATCTAAGGGATCTAGCGCTGTTACCCAGCATGGAGGAGTTCAGAAAATGTCCACCAGAAAAGCTACGCTTCCAAAGTTAAGAAAAAGAAAAGAAAGAGAAGGGAATCACAAGGGCAGTGAAAATGCCATACAAAGGATTTACCTACTCATTATCTGTGTCACTTGTAGAGGATTTGGATGGATTTTAGCTACAGGCACTCAACTCTTCTGAATGTGTATACAATAAGGACTGCAAAAACAGGCACAATCTCCATTCAGATAATACACTTATTTTCTTACATTGCGTGGCAGCACCAGAGGCACAGGATGTCTCAGTTTGCTGCACAGCCTGCCTGCTTCCATGCTTCATCCAGCAGTCTTCCTCTGCAGGAAACTAAGCCCACAGTCTTCTTCAGCATATGGATAAATGAGCTTCTTCTTAGGGGCTGTTAACATATCCACAGTTAAGTCAGGATGCCAACCAAAAAAAAAAAAAAAAAAACACCAAACTTTTTTTTGAAACTAAAAGGAAAAAAATCCAGCTTAAATAAATCTTAAATTATGCATTTGTCCTGTCTCTTAAGTGCTAAATTTCATGTGAAGAGCTTCTAGTCTTCATCGCTTTCTGTCTTTTCTTTCTTCTGTACAAAGACATAAGTAACTCACATTCTTTGTAAGGTGGCACTGACCTGTAAAAAACACAAAAAGGATGTGTTAAACAGAAAGGAGAAAAATGCTAAATAAATGCATAATTATTTTGTTTATCTCTCAGAATGTACACATACACAAATAAACACCCACACAGCTTTCCATTCTGTTTTACTAAAACAAATCTTCAGACCTCCAGCAACAAACAGCCAGTCACTTATTAATAAGAATCCAAATAGATATTACTGAGTCTGACTACTTGTGCTTTTGAGATGTAAATATCAAAATTGCCTTTTGAAGAAGTAAAATGCAAAAGCAGTTAAAGTTTAGGATTCAATTTTTTCCTCTTCTTTTGATAAATGCATTTACATTTTAATTTTCAGTGTTTTCAATTTTCATCAGTGAAAAGCTGTGTCCCTGGATGAAAAGCACAATAATAAAATGTTCTCCACTCCATAATTTTCTTGTAATTCACTGAAATGATCTGAGGGCATATAGCTCACGACAATATATATTATAGCATTCAGAGCAGAGAACTCAATTGTTAGGGCTGCAATTTCAAACATATGTATATTAATGAACTGTCTGTGGCTTCATTTTAAATTCCTAAAGACTTTTTTGCTGACATAGAATCATCACGACTGTAATCTTAGAAACCTGAAAAGATTGTCAGAACTGTGCATGTTATTTCATTTATTCAATCAATACAAGTGTCAATGCCAATTATGCTGCAGAAATCCATACAATAGTCCTATTTTTTTAAGTCCATATGGCACCATAGATCATGAGAGGAACAGAACAATGTGAATGCCACATTTTACATAATTTGGCAGAGCAGTGTGCCTTTATTTATAAGAACATGCTATAAATCTTGTTCTGCTTTTATTGCAATCAGTTCCCTTTCTACCCTCAAAATGATAAAGCAGATTTTGCTAATCTAAAACAAAACAAATCAAAAGTAAAAGAAAAAAAACACTGAAAACATTATTGATCTTCATCTATAGCTTGGAACAGTTTTTAGTCATGCATCTTAACCACTCTGGCCACTAGAAACTGCAGAAAAAACTGTTGTAACTTGCTGAACAGACAACAGCATCTACAGATAACAACTGCTCACTGCAGTACCCAATATAAAATGCAAGATTGGTGTGCAGAGCTATAAAAAACATACAGACTCTATTGTCAAAAAAACCCTGGTACATCAATAATAACAACAGTCGAGAAACCCGAGGATAACGCGAAATTCGTCGGAGGTTAGCAAAAGCCTGGAAGATAAAGCTCAGAAGCGAGGCCGGAAAGCAGCACAGAGCGGAGACTGCATTCAGCACAGTGCCAGGGAATAGAGACAGGCTGGAAGCAATAACTGGGGAGCCTGCCATTCCAGCTCTGCATGGACAGCATGCTGCCACGGGGCAGTGCCCCTCTGCCCATGCCAAGGGAGCCCAGGGAGCCATCTGAGCCATCTGAAGGCTTGCTCTTTGGGGAAACTGCTCTCTTCTTTACTGCAGATGCTGAAATAGGTTTTCTTTTGCTTGAAGCAGACACCTTGCTCTGGTCACATTCATTTTTTTTTCCCTTCAGAAGCTTTATTTCTCTCTGCCCTAGGTTTATGGAAGCTCACACTAGGTCTCCTTGCACCTATTATATTTATGTTTTCTGATCAAGTTTAAATTCTCTGGTTTCGGCATTCTCTCCACATGGCTGTCAGGTTTGTAATCCTCCTTCAGTACAGAAGGAGATGGACCTATAGCACTCCCTCCTTCAGCTCTGGAGCTGCTGAAGGCACTTCCCATAGGCATCCTCCACAGCTCCACGTCATCCCATCTGGGGAGCAGAGCTTCTTTGAGAGTAGGAGGTGAATAAGCCTACCCTGAGCAAGCCAGTGACTGGGAGCTAGCTGCTTTATGGAAACACTTCTAAAGATAAGTATCAGTAAGATCTATGTAAGCTAAAAGTTAGAATTGGCATCAAGTTCATAGTTGTAAGGGAGGCACAAACCACATCATACTGGAAACAAAGACACACACAATAATAAGCTGGTTTAGGAGTCTAACTGCTTTTAAGAGAAGTGTCAATAAACATGAAAATAATATTATGTAACATAATGCTTATTGCTCAAATCTGGAGTGTCTCCTGACACAACTGATAACATTTCAAACATGAAAAATATGTAAACAGTAAAGTACTTTAAAAATAGGAGGGTGAAAATTCATTTCCACTATAATTATTCATCATTATATTGACATAATTACATGCATTATTCTAAATATATGAGAATTTATTGGCACAGTGATGTTGTCAATAATTTTTTCTTCTGAAAGGGTCTATGAACCAGTTGAAATCTGAGTATTTTAGTGCAATTGAATACATTGCATTTGTTCACTCACAAGATTGTGTCCTTCACATTTTTAGAAACTTAGTCAAGACTGTTGTGTTCACTCATCCTAAATTTATTAGACCTTAATCCATGCTTGATGATGCAGTGAGAAAGCCGAAAGGGACATAGCAGACATAATAAGAGATGTGCCTCACGGCAGGGAGCAGTTTATTCTAATGATTATTTATAAACCCCTTTAGTTCCCCAAGACATGCTTTAGCAGTTGATTGTGGTTTTCTTCAGCATTTTAGAATCTGTTCTTAGTAATATGGTAGATTTTTCTAGCTGTCAGAATTGTGCTTCTGATTAATTTTGCATCACTTGTGATACTAAGAGGAGATACTTGCCCCTAGTCACAGCCTCTATAGCCAAAGAAAGGGAACTTTGCTGCTGAGTACTAACCCTTAGAACAAGCAAGCAGTAGAGTGGCTTTCTAAGTTAAAACTCCCTTTGATTTCTCCAGGTAATTTTTTCCCAAGTTAAGGCCGCAGGGCTTGGCTTGAGTTTGCAAGTGCCGAGGAGCTGAACTGAGTTTTACTACTCCATTACTCATGTGTCTCTATTTTCCCCCAAACTCTTTATATAGCTGCCACAGCTCCTCTGCACCTTGCAAGAGATGGATGAGCCAAGAAACACCTTTTTAGCAATATCTGTAGCACTTGCCAAGTGCCAAGTCATCTATTTTACCTAGGATATAAGCAGTAGCTCTGTGTGCTAGACTGCAGGCCAACTGTCCTGTAAATAAATCCTGGTCTTTCCAAGTTGACCCTCTGCACACATTTAAACACTTCATCCTTCAGAACTCGAGGCTGCTCTGGGATGCACAGCAGCTACTGAAGGAGTCTGCAGCCACAGAGAGCCCTGCAGTAAGCTACTGAGGACATCAGCAGAGATAGCTTCCCAAAAGCCAAGGTCACTTCAGCCTGTGACCTCCTGCTCTCTCCTCCTGCCCAGGTTTGACTCTGAGATTACAGAATTTGAAGTTTCCCTTAGTGTCCTTCTCAGGTGGTATCCCCAGTGGACATGGGGTTCACAGCAAAGAGAACAAGGGAAATAAACAGCGTGATAAGCCAAGGCTTGCTGTTACCTGTACATTGTATTCCCCACTACAAGTGTTTGGCAGAGGTGTTTGTTTCTTAGGAACCACAAAAGTTATTTGCAAGCTGCTTCTACCACAAAATGACTGATTGCTCCTATTCATAGGCAGGGCTAATGTATCTTTCTGCCAAAGCAACTTTCATGGGAGACAGAGTTTTAGACAACTGCAAAAAATACCTTCTTTACAGAAAGACACAACTAACTGACTGCAGCCTCCCTAACTCTAGCGCAGAATTGTAGATTTTAGGCAGGAGCCTGAAAAAATCTGTGGGTGAAGAGGGAGAAATCACTGCATCCTTTCAGGATTACTTTTTGCTCTTGCAGCACCTACTTCTCCAGTGGGCTGGACCCTGCAGGATGACAGCAGTAGCTGTGGATTCTGTCCATCCAACAAGGTGACATAAACTGTGTCATGATGACAAGTGATCCCACACAAGTGCTGTAACCACTACACACACAAAGACACTTCAACTTGAAAAATCCTAGAAAAGCAATGAGGCATTTTACAGTATTGTTTCATTGGTGACCATGCAGTGTTGGGGGATTAAGCTTACTCTCTCTCCTGCAGCTTCCCCTGTATCCCCTCTTTCCATTTCAGCACAGGCAGAGAAGTTCCTCTCTCAGCTGAGGGTGGTCTCCTCAACCCACAGCCTGCACAGAGCACCTCAGCACGCCCAAGCTGTGAATGCCTGCCCTCCCCATGACTTTCTGCAGCTTGCAGTACCATGCCCTGGCTTATCCTAGGTACAAAGAAAAAAAATACTTAGAGTGCGCTTTAGTTTTCTTAGTCTGTAGCTTCTGGTTTTGGTAGGCTTTTCTGCTTGCAGCTGAGCTGACTTTCACAGCAAATAGCATAGATTAAGTTCTGTGCTCTGAGCAGGGATTTCATACATCATTTATAACTTTCTGCAGTGATTCCAAAAAGTCAGTATGTCTCCATAACACAAAGATGAGAAGGATGGAAAATATAGCTGAAAAAGTGACAAACCTGCAAATTGCATTTATGTAGAATTCTGTTGCCACAAAGTTTCTACAGCAATTTTATGGAAACCTAGCAAATTCAGTATAACTAAATTTGCCATTCAGGAAAGTTATACATTTATGGATTTCAGCACAGTGCCATATTACACCTTAGCAGAGATGCTAAATATCTCTCAGACAAAATGGAAATTAAATCTGCTGTTCTATTTTGTCAAATCAGGTCTTTGCCTATGATACCTTGGGCATAGATTTCACTACTCCCTCCTCAAAGAAGTGAAAAATCACACAAACAAAACCCACTTTTGCAAAGGTTGCAAACACTAATTACATCAGGTTGCCCTATAACTGGCAAGTAATGTCTTTTTTCATTTTTTGTTTCCCTGGGATATCTCATCCATCATTCAGCACCAGAATATTAACAGAGGTGACTGTAGAGCACCGTATTTTGGTGACATCCAGGTTCCAGTGAAGTAAACAGCAAAAATCCCACAGGTTTTATTAGAGCCACAAACTGTTCCTTTGTACTGAGTTCTTTTTATAGTCAGAGCTGGTTGCCAAAATGCTGGTCCTGAATCCCACTTTCATAGCTGGATAATCAGGATTTACTACAACCTAAATCAGTGAAGCCAGAATGGTGCAAATGAGAGAACTGAGGCCATCTGCTGTGAATTTCCAGATACCAAAAACGAACTGAAGAACAGAGAGATTTTTTTTTACCAGCCTTCAATTCCTAATTGGCAAAGGTTTACAAAGAAAGTCCTATCGTGCCTGTCACCCATATTCAACTGTATCTTAAGTCAATAGGAAATAACGTCAGTAGGACATACACGCTCACAAACACATACGTATAAAAACATAAAATTGAATTCAGGTTGAAATGCTTTTCATTTCAGAACAGCATATTGCCATCAGATAAAGAAAAAATACATATTATTCTCTGTCTAGTTCTTCCAAAGGAAATAATACCAAAGGTTTAAGAACATGCATTGGCTTTTTTCCTGATAGGATTTTAAATGTTCTTTTCCAATGTAAGTGCAAAACGAAACATTAAGGCTGAAAATCAAGCACACTAGACACGCACGTTCAAAAATGAATGAATGAATGTGCTCTGAAAAAACTGGACTTGCTGCAGCCAGTGGCACAACTCCCACTGACTTCCATAGGGCCAAAATTCCACCCATTTCCTAGGAGAACATTAAATTGGCCACATTATGCATCTCATTTAATAGACTACATTGGCAGGCATGATTTATTAAGATTCACATTCAAGAAGGAAATCAAGTGCATTGTGGAAAGTATTTAAATTAATGTATCTGTTACAGCATACCTCTAAATTAAGATAGAATTCAAAATCCTACTTTTGGTACTTCTTGTCTGACTTCTTGCTTTCCAAAGAAGTATTGCAGTAAGGGATTTTTGAACTTGATTTCCCACCCTTCCCACTGCAAAACCATGTGTAACCTACCATATGAGTTTTATCAAAACCTCTTAAAAAAAAAAAAAAAGAAAAAAAACCCTTGAAATCAGGGGTTAATCATATTATGGCACAAAATGTACAGAGGCATGAGTAAATGAGTTCGTTCTTTCTTTATTCAAACTAATTATTTTGCTTATTTTTAACCCAATTACAATTAAGTTGGCTGCCAGTAAAATTTGTATCCAAATATGTCTGCTAAAGTGGGATTGTTTGGATAGTACAGTCAAAAATTCTAACATCTTAATCAGGTTGCTTTCTGACTTTTTTTATAACAAACTTAATTGGGTACATTAAAACCGCAATTCTTGAAAGTCCAAGACAAACATCATAATAAAATACCAATTTCTTTAGGGAAAATTCTAGTATAATAAAGAAACCACGTGGATTTTATTGA